AGGGGAAAAAACAAGGTAGGAAAATTTGCGGAATAGGGCTTCTGGAATAGCTTCACTCTGGGTAACATGACTAGGAGTGAAAAAGGAAGAGGCTTAGCATTGACGAAGCAGTAACATTCAGGGTCATTACTCAATTGCTTTTTCTACTAGCATGCACTGGGGGCATGTTCTTCTCTGCTGCCCTAATGGTCTATTTTCCTTCCATCTTTCCTTTCTCCCACCCTCCCTCCTTCCCCACATCAAATTTTGTTCTGATTTTTAAAAGTTACTCTGCTGACAGAGGAAGTCCACTACATCACTATTGTTGTAACATTTTACTCTAGCTAGTCCTGCAGAAAGTTGAAAAGAAATAATGTAAAAGGATTGGGGTTTCCTCTATCATCAGAAAAACAGCAGCATTATTGTGCTGCAGCTATAAAAATAGAAAAAACCAGCTGCAATTTTATAAATCCATAATGTGAGTCCCATCATACAGCATTCTGTGTGAGGCTGGAATGTCTCATTTAAAAAGGATGTTACAAAACTAGGGAGAAGATGTAGAAAACCAAGAGAAAAAGCATATTGAGCATGAATGAAAAGGGAAGACATAGGAAGAGGTTACCTAAAAAGTCAGCAAAAAGACAGAAAAGCAATTGCATATGCATTGGTTTGGGACACCTCATTAATACAATGCAACAAATCCAATTTCTTCCACTTGTGAGTCCTTAGTCATATAGGTATTAAACATACACACTATAAAATTATCAAGTACCTCCTTCGAAGCATGTAAGCAGGAAAGGTAGAAGTGAGAAATGCTACATATTTTCCATAAGGGAAGCCATAAGCCTCTGGCTTCATAGCCCTGAATTACACAAATATAGTGTTTCCTGTTTATGGTGTGTTTCCAGGCCCCGCAACCATTAATTGCTGATAGCTAGGCAGGAAACAATGGAGAACAGACAGCAGATTAGATTTATTTTTTTCAGCTGCATTGCCAGCTACTCATGAAGAGCTGTCACAAAAGGCTTAAAAGCAAACAGAGGCAGAAAGTCATAATGCTTTGCTAAGAGTGAGGTTGTAGGCAGCTCACCTGTTGACCACATTGAACATTTCCTCTGTAAAGGGAAACCACAGCAGCAGCCCATGTGTCCACCAGCCCATCTGACCCCCAAGTCCGTTGTCTCCCCTCTAGCAGACCCAGGACAAGACCAATGCAGACCTCTGTGTCAGCTCTTTCAAAGGGCTCAGTTAGTTATGTCAAAGCAGCCTCTCAGAACACAATGCATCTGTTGATGGCCCTCGCAAGGTGGGAGGTAGGGCTGGGCCAGTCTCCCAATAGGCAGGGAATGCTCAGAAATATCTCATCCATTTCAGTGGTTTATTCCTCCCAGCACCACAAACACACATACACGTCTTTCCTGATTGTGTTTCAAATGCCAGGCAACACATTCTCAGCATTCTGAGCTTTGGTGGGCGGAGGTGAAAAACTCAAAAGCTTTTCATACAATTGATTCGGATTCCCCTTTGGAACCCTCATAACTTTTAGAGTGGTGTAGATTGCAAATTAGGGAAATGAGAACTGCTGTTTATGCAAATCGTATCCATTGCCACTCTCATTCATAATAATCTGGTAACTTCTGGCTGTTTAGTTGAAAACAATGAAAAGATAAAGTACAATAGTCTTTTCATGATTAAAGAGACATTCCTCTCTTTTATTCTGCACCAGGAAAGCTCTTCATATTCTGTTTTCTAAAAACAGAGCAACTTAACGTAGGCCACCACGATTGCATTGCTAGACTAATAATCTCATACTTCCAAAGGTCAGCAAAGTTTACTTTAGGTGCTATGTATATGTCTGAAATTGGGCAAGTTACGTTCAAATTTATGAATGAGGGTTTATAGAAAGTAACTTCGCTAAACACCAGAAATATGATTCTGAGCATCATTGGAACTGTGAGCTCAGGATCTTACTCATAGGGGCAGAAGGGGGATGTAGCCTTGGTAAAAAAAAAAAAGAGACCCTCATAACTGGGACAATGAACTGAGAACCCATTTCTTATCAAAAGTTGAAATAAAAATATTTGCTTGTTTGTTTCCCTGCTCAAGATTGGGAAAACCACAACTAAGTTATTTGACAAAGGCAAGTGAAAAATAACCACACTAGTAAGAGATCTTCGCTCTAAATGTATTTGCCATAGACCAGTGGTGGTGAACCTATGGCACGCATGCCAGAGGCGGCACTCAGAGCCCTCTCTGTGGGCACGCGTGCCTGCCCGAGATGATGAGGGACTGGCCCCCGCTGCCCTGGCCCCACCCACCCAGTCTGCCATGACCACTACAGCCACGCCCCCTGGCACTGCCAGAATAATAAAGCTGCCACAATGAACTTACCTGGAAGTAACGTTTGAACAGACATGAAGAATTGGGCCGTACAGATTTTACTATACTGCTTTGCAAAGGCTCTCCATTGACATGCCTGTTGGTAATTTACAGCTGCAGACTGGCTCTGATTTCTCTGTTTAGCTACGAAGGCCAATGTGTTGAATAATCTGAAGTGCTAAACAAGGATTGGAGAGACTAACTACAAAACTCAGGGTGGGTGGCCTTAAAGATAATTTAGTATCAGTCTCACCTGCCTGCTGCAGATGGTTGAAAGCAAAAAAGGCACATTTTATTTTTTGGAGGAAGAGGTAGGATTCAGTTGCAAGGAGGCTTTGTTGTTAATAATTGGTTATGCAATGAATTCAGGCAAAAAGAAATAGCATTTTATGAGGATTTGTATAGATTTAGAGGAGCATTTCCCAAAGAAAATCCATGGAGCTTGAAAGTAACTGCCCAATGAATGTACATTTCAACCTTTTAAAAAATGCAACACTCCAGCAGTCTGTGCCAGTAACAGATGTTCTTCCAGCTAAGTTTTTTAATGTACAATTTTCCTGCCTCATTCACAGGATTCTAGCAAGTATCCAGATGCTGCCACCCAACATCTCTTTTCATTACTTCCTCCATCATTTCAGATAGAAAATAAGATGACTGCAAAGCTGCAAAATAATGCCTCTTTGGGTAGATAATCTCCAATCTACCCAAAGGCATTATTTTATAGCATTGTAGTCATCTCATGAAAACTTTCCAGCGAGAGAAGCATTTATAACTTTTTCTTTCTCAAGTCCTGGGATTTAGTGGAAACCGTATTGGGTGCTCTCAGCAGATCTCCTGAACCTGACATCCCTGCCCTGGTGGACTTCCATCCCAACTTCTGCCAGCCCAGCCCAACCCAACTGCGGAGCCTCGGAACTGGACTACATATCTGGCCTGCAAAACTTTGGGTATTTGCAGTGAAGGTCAGGTGTTCATGACCAGGTTGGGAGCTCTATCGGGATTAGTTGAGGCCAGCACGTATAAAAGACTAAGCCTGGAATGCTTGGCTCTGCTGTCGCTGCGGTGACAGCTAAGGCTGTCCCAGAAGGCGACCTGGACCAACAACCAACCCCACAGTCAGGAAGGGACTCACTCTTTTCGCAAAACAGCCGGGAGAACCAGCTTTACTGACCTGGCTTTTCATCTGGAGACATTCACTTCGGGCTCCGACCCTCTGACTCCTCTTTCCCTTCCCCCCCTCAGTGCCTCAGTCGTGAGAGTTAAAGGGAACTCAAACTTCAGAGACGCGGACAAGCTTCCCCGCGCAAAAGCAGAAGCGGAGGAAAGGAGGCGGGCGCACCTTCTCCGTTCCTCCCTCCCTCCCTCCCTCCCTGCCTACCTCGCTCGCTCGTTTGCTCGCCCGCAAAAGCAAAAGGAAGATCTTTTCCGGGGCTTATCTGTCAGCCGCGAGGGAGCTCCCGTTTCCCAGCAGCGCCTTTGCCCGCTGAGGTCAGAGTTTCCCGGGAGCCAAACCGCAAACAGCTCCGAAGGCGCAGCTCGCTCCAACCGGAGCTGTGCAGCCAGCGCGGCTTGCGCCCCTTCCAGCCGCGCGTCCCGCTCCCTAGGGTGGGATGCCAGGGGAGCTTGCCAAAGGCCGCCGGCGAAACTGGCCACCGATTTGTTTAGCGTCCGTTTGCCAGCGGCTGGATCGAGAGAGGGCCCGCCCGGTTTGCTCAAACTAGCTCTTCTGGTCTGGCCACCTGCGAAAAGCCGACTGTTTCCCGTGTCCCTCTCTTCCCTTGAAAGCGAGAAGTTTCGCCGCTAGTTAAACATCAACTGAAATTGCAGAGCTGGCATTGATTTAGGAACGCGTGGGGGGGGGGGCAGGGGCGTACCTGTTTTTGTTTTGCGTGTGTGTGTGTGTGTGTGTGTGTGTGTGTGTGTATGTGCGAAAGAGACAGACACAGGGACACAGAGAATTAAAGGGAATGTTGCACCTAAAAGAGTAGTCCTTTGCATGCACAGGCATATTTGAAATTGTATGCATCTTCACTATTGTTGTGACATTGATGATATAAACAACACTTAGACAAAGAAACCTATTAAGCATTTTGAAATAATATCTACTGCTTTACAAAACTGTATTTTTTTTTTACAATTACTGTAAATTACTGCTACTCCATTTTGTTGTCTTCTTTTTGGCCCTCAGAATACCCTTGCCAGGCAGAATAAGCTCAAATAGTGGCGGATATACTGTTTCTTTAAGGATATTTATTTTTCAGCCAGTTTGGTCTAGACTCTAGTGGTTAAAGCACCAGACTGGAAATCAGAAGTCTGTGAGTTCTGGGTGATTTTGGGCCAATCACCATAGTTGTTGTGGAGAAAATAAGAAGTATTTGGTATGTTCCTCCCCTTGAGTAACTTACCAAAATGATAAAGGCAGGATTAAAAAAAAATCTACCTCCCCCCAACTTTCCAGGTATGGAATTTCTTGGAGATCTCCAGCCCAAGTATTAAATAGATTTAACAAAACCATCCCAAACATTCTCCCTGACTTGGTTCCCTCTTCTTTTACTCTAAAATTTGTTTTATCAATACTATGAATTTAATCATTATAATTACAAAACATCCAAATGCCCTTCAGATATGTACAAATTACTTACTTTATAAGTGAAATAGTCCCACCATCAGAAATCTTCAGATGCTGAGCAATACAGCCAACCCAGAGTATTTTCTGCTTTCCAGAGGGTCTGTGCAAAATAATGGCAGGAGAACTAGGACAAGTCTAGGTGTTTGTCTATGGCTCACCTACCATTTTGACCTTTGGCAGATACACTTACAAGAGGAATGTAAAGAATGCGGCAGCAAAGGCATCACAGCCTGTCCCATAACTACCAGTAAGTTGGTATTTTGGCTTCTCAGAAAAGTGAGCAAGGGAGGGAGAGGAAATAGGAAAATTATTCCTTGATTGTTTAAAGGGGAAAGGGATTTCCTTAGGAAGCCAGGACACAAGAAAGTGTGGTATTTTGTGCAAAATACATCTTGCTGAACTGGATAAAGCTTGCTGGGAGACTTTAAAGCCTTAATACATTCTGTGAAACTCATATCCCAACTTATTTGAAGTGCACACATTTTGCTTCCTTGACTATTAACAATACTGGTGTGTGTGTGTGTGTGTGTGTGTGTGCACGCACGCGCGTGTGTGTACAGAATTATATTCGCGTGCAAGGCTGCAGTTAAATGCAAGCAAACATAATCCTGTCATTTCTTGCAGGAGCATGCATACAAAATTAGACAATTATATTTGCCACCCTCTTCCTCCCAATTTCTCTTTAACAATACGATTGAGCCTGCTTTTCCACCTTTTTTCCTCATTTAATAAAATTATGTAAAAATATACATACAAGCCTAAATTTTTTCAAATCTGGGGAAGCAGAGTTAAAAAGACACAGCAAAGATTAGCCTCCTCGTGCTCTTCAACTGAAGGGCCCGTAAATACAATGAGGGGGGGGGAAGAGAGGAAAGAGAGAGAGGAAAGAGAGAAAGAGAGAGAGAGAGGAAAGAGAGAAAGAGAGAGAGGAAAGAAAGAGAGAGAAGGATAGAAAGGAAAGAGAAAGAGAGGAAAGAGAGAGGAAAGAGTAAGAAAGAGGAAAGAGAAAGAGAGGAAAGAGAAAAAAGAGGAAAGAAAGAGAAAAAGAAAGGAAAGGGAAAAGAGAAAAAGAGGAAAGAGAAAGGGAGAGAGAGGAAAGAGAAGGAGAGAGGAAAGAGGAAAGAGAGAGAGAGGAAAGAGTAAGAGACAGGAAAGAGAAAGAATGAGAGAAGAAAGAGAAAAGAAAGAAAAGGGAGAGAAAGAAGAAAGGGAGAGGAAAGAGAGAAAGAAGAAAAAGGAAAGAGAAAAAGAGGAAGAGAGGAAAGAAAGGAAACAGGAAAGAGAAAGTGAGGAAACAGAAAACGAGAGAAAGGAAAGAAAGAAAAAGAGAGGAAAGAAAGAAAAAGAGGAAAGAGAAAGGAAAAAAGAAAAGGAGAGAGGAAAGAGAAAGAAAGAGGAAAGAGAGAAAGGGAAAGAAAGAGAAAAAGAGAAAGAAAGAGGAAAGAGAAAGGAAAGAGGAAAGAAAGAGGAAGAGAGGAAAGAGAAAGGAAACAGGAAAAAGAAAGAGTAAGAGAAAGAGAGGAAACAGAGAACGAGAGAAAGTAAGAAAGAGAAAGAAAAAGAGAAAGGAAAGAAAGAAAAAGAGGAAAGAGAAAGAAAGAGGAAAGAGAAAGGGGGGAAGAGAGAAAGGAAAGAGAAGAAAAAGGAAAGAGGAGAGAAATAAAGAGAAAAAGAAAACAGAGAGAAAGAAAGGAAAGGGAGAAAAAGGAAAGAAAGAGGAAAGAGAGGTAAGAAAGTGAAACAGAGGAAAGAGAAAGGAAAGAGAAAGAGAAGAAAGGAAAGAGAAAAAGGAGAGAAAGAGAAAGAAAGAAAAAGAGACAGGAAAGAGAAAGACAGAAGGAGAGAGAGGAAAGAGGAAGAGAAAGAAAGAGACGAGTGAGAAAGAAAAAGAGAAAGGGGGAAAAAGAGAGAGAGATAGAGAGGGGGGAAGTGTGGAAGAAAGAGGAAAGAGAAAGAAAGGATAGAGAAGGAGAAAGAGAAAGAGAGGAAAGAGAGAAAGAGAGAAAAGAGGAGAGAGAAAGAGGAAAGAGAAAGAGAAGGAGAGAAGAAAGAGAGAAAGAAAGGGAAGAGAGCAAGAGAAAGAGAGGAAAGAGAAAGAAAAAGAGAGGGAGAAAGAGAGAGAGAGGAGAGAGAAAGAGAAAGAGGAGTGAGAAAGAGAAAGAGAGGAAAGAGGGAGAAAAAGAAAAGATAGAGAAAAGAGAAAGAAAAAAGAGGAAAGAGAGAGAGAGAAAGAAAGGAAAGAGAGAAAGAGGAAAGGGAGAAAAAGAGAAAAGAGAGAGAGGAAAGAGAGAAAAAGAAGGAGAGGAAAGAGAGAAAGAGAGGAAAGAGGGAGAAAAAGAGAGAAAGAGAGAGGGGAAAGAGGGAGAGAGAGGAAACAGAAAGAGACAGGAAAGAGAAAGAGAAGAAAGAGGAAAAAGAGAGAAAGAAAGAAAGGAGAGAGAAAGGAGAGAGAAAGAGAGAGAGAGAGGAAAGAGAAAGAGAGAGAGAGGAAAGAGAAAGAGAAGAAAGAGGAAAGAGAGAGAAATAGATGAGAAAGGGAGAGAGGAAAGAGGGAGAAAGAAAGAGAGAAAGAAAAATAAAGAGAAAGAAGAAAGAGGGAGAAAAGGGAAAAGAGAGAGAGGAAAGAGAAAGAAAAAGAAAGAAGAAAGAGAGAGAAAGAGAGGAAAGAGGGAGAAAAAGAGAGAGAAAGAGGGAGGAGAGAGGAAGAGAGAGGAAAGAGAAAGAGAGAGGAAACAGAAAGAGAGAGAAAGAGAGGAAAGAGAATGAGAGAAACAGAAAGAGAAAGAGAGAGCAGAAAGAAAGAAAGGAAAGAGAAAGGGAGAGAGAGAGAGAGAGAGAGAGAGGAAATAGAGAAAGAAAGAATGAGAGAGAGGAAATAGAAAGAGAAAGAGAGAGGAAAGAGAAGGAGAGAGAGGAAAGGGGAAGGAGAGAAAGAGAGAAAGAGAGAAAAAGAAAGAGGAAAGAGAGAATGAGAGAAACAAAGAGAAAGAGAGAGAGCAGAAAGAAAGAGAGAGGAAAGAAAAAGGGAGAGAGAGAGAAAGAGAGAGAGGAAATAGAAAAAGAAAGGGAGAGGGGAATGAAAGACAGAAAGAGAGAGGAAATAGAAATAGAAAGAGAGAGATGAAAGAGAGAGAGGAAAAAGAAAGAGAAAGAGCAACAAAGGCAATGAGAGAGACAGTAAAGAGAAAGAGAGATGAAAGAGAAAACAGAAATAGAAAGAAAGAGGAAAGAGAGAAAGAGAGCGACAGGAAAGAGAGAAAGAGAGAGAGGAAAGAGAAAGAGAAAGGAAACAGAGAGAGAGAGAAAATAGAAAGAGAGAAAAGAAGGATAAAGAGACAGAGAAAAAGAGAGGAAAGAGAAAGAGAAAGTGAGAGAGAGGAAGGAGAGAGAAAGAGAGAAGAAAGAAAGAAAGGAAAAAGAGAAAGAGAGGAAAGAGAAAGAGAGAAAAAGAGAGGAAAGAGAAAGAGAGAAAAAGAAAGAGAGACGAAAGGGAGAGAATGAGAGAGGAAACAGAGAAAGAGAGAGAGGAAAGAGAAAGAGAGAGAGGAAAGAGGGGAAGGAGAGAAAGAGAGAAAGAGAGAGAAAGAGAGAGGAAAGAGAAAGAGAGAGAGAGAAAAGAGAGAAGAAATAGAAACAGAGAAAGAGGAAAGAGGAAGAGAGGAAACAGAAAGTGAAAGAGAGAGAGGAAAGAGAAAGAGAGGAAAAAAGAGAAAAAGAGAGAGAGGAAAGAAAGAAAGAGAGAGGAAAGAAAGAGAAAGAGAGAGAAAGAGAAAGAGAGACAGAGACAAAGAAAGACAGGAAAGAGAAAGAGAGAGGGGAAAGAGAAAAAGAGACAGGAAAGAGAAAGAGGAAAGAGAGAGAAAGTGAGAGAGGAAAGAGAAAGTGAGAAAGAGAGAAGAAAGTGAAATAGAGAGGAAAGAGAGAGAAAAAGAGGCGAAAGAGAGGGAGGAAACAAAGAGAAAGAGAGAAAAGAGAAAGAGAGAAGAAAGATAAAGAGGCAGAGAAAGAGAGGAAAGAGAAAGAGAAAAAGAGAGAGGAAGGAGAAAGAAAGAGAGAGGAAAGAGAAAAAGAGAGAAAAAAGAAAGAGAGAGGAAAGAAAGAGAAAGAGAGAGAGGGAGAGAGGGAGAAAAAAGAAAGAGAAAGAGAGAGAGGAAAGAGAAAGGGAGAGAAAGAGAGGGAGAGAAAGAGAGAGAGAAAAGAGAGAAAGAGGGAGGAAATAGAGAAAGAGAGGAAAGAGAGAGGAAAGAAAGAGAAAAAGAGAGAAAGAGAGAGAGGAAAGAGGAAGAGAGAGAGAAAGAGAGAGGAAAGAGAAAGAGGGAGGAAATAGAGAAAGAGAGGAAAGTGAGAGAGAAAGAGAGAGGAAAGAGAGAAAATGAGAGAGGAAGGAGAGAGAAAGAGAGAGAGTTAAGAGAAAGAAAGAGGAAAAAAGAGAGGGAGGAAAGAAAGAGAAAAAGAGAGAGAGAAAGAGAGGAAAGAGAAAGAGAGAGGAAAGAAAAAGAGAGAGAGGAAGGAGAGAGAAAGAGAGAGAGGAAAGAGAAAGAAAGAGAGGAAAAAATAGAGAGAGAGAGGAAAGAGAAAAAGAGAGAAAGAGAAAGAGGAAAGAAAGAGAGAAAGAGGGAGAGAAAGAGAGAGAGAGGAAAGAGAGAAAGGGAGGAAATAGAAAAAGAGAGAAAAGAGAGGGAGGCAACAGAAAGAGAAAGAGAGAGGAAAGAGAAAGAGAGAGGAAACAGAGAAAGAGAGGGGGAAACAGAAAGAGAAAGAGAGAGAGGAAAGTGAGAAACAGAGACAGGAAAGAGAGAGGAAAGAGAAAGAGAAAGAGAGAGAGAAAACACAGAGAGAGAAGAAACAGAAAGAGAAAGAAAGAGAGAGGAAACAGAAAGAGAAAGAGAGAGACAGGAAAGAGAGAAAGAGAGAGAGAAAGGGAGAGAGAAAAAGTGGGAGAGAAAGAGAAGAAAGAGAAAGAGAGAAGAAAGAGAGAAAGAGAGAGGAAACAGAGAGGAAAGAGAGAGAGGAAACAGAAAGAGAAAGAGAGAGAGAGGAAAGAAAGAGAAAAAGAGAAAGAAGAGAGAGAAAGAGAGAGGAAACCGAAAGAGAAAGAGAGAGGAAAGAGAGAAAGAGAGAGAGAGAGAGAGAGAGAGAGAGAAAGAGAGAGGAAAGATAAAGAGAGAGAGGGGGGAAAGAGAGGTGGGGAAGTAAGTGGTCATGATTATGCCAGAGAAGGAGTGAGGGTCAGCAAAGAGAAAGAATGTTGCCAGAGAGAAAAAATAATAGGAAGAAAAGTAAAGGGTAGGAGGAACATTAGGAAAGACCACTTTCACCTTTTGCCCTGGATCTTTCAGTTCAACAGAATTACTACTGTTCCATCTCTATTAATGGGACAAAATGCTTCCAAGAAAGTTTATCTTCTGAAATTGCCCTGCCTCATTCATGGAATATGATGATGTTCAAGATGATATCATCTTCTATTTGCAATGTTCCTGCATGTTCCTGTTACTTGAATTTACTTTTTTTTCAATTAAAAAAGAAATGTTAAGCAAAAAAAAAACCTGAGCTATTGCAGTGACAGTGCATTGTGGAAGATGGTCTTAACAGCCATTCAACTGGATCCCCCTTAATAGAACGTAAGAAAGATTAGACTTAGTTAAAATTACTTCAAAACATAACAAGGTTATGACGATTGCACTGCATGGTCTTTCAAAGTGCTAACAGACATAACTTCTACTCACATAGACATGGAAGCATTCTCCACAAAACAGGAAACATTCTACTGGTTGAGTCCAAAAAAATTTCACAGCTAAGTCAAAGTCTACTCGGTATTTCCTTAATTACCCAGATTAAATATTAAATCTGCTGAGAACCCACTGTAAAGT